GTACCGGCCAGCGGGTACTTTTTCCCTCTTTTTCCGGCCTCATAAAATCGTGGTTCCCTCAGACCAGGGCCAGGGCTGAACTAGTGACGTCAACACTCTCGACTGCTGATTGGTCAGAGAGAATCGTCACAAGATCGCGCGCGAGTACATCCCTAGCATCGCATATATATTTAGAAGCAAGCTTGCAGCATTTTTATAAACAGCATTTTGTAAACGGATGAGATACAAAAATGGCTACTTCTAATAAGAAAAGCACACCGTGGTCGACCGAGGAGGTGACTACGTTCCTACATCTCATTGGGGATGATCAAATCCAGCGGGAGCTCGACGGAACAACTCGAAATGTGAACAAAAACAAAGCCGATCGCCCCGCCTACACTGCGTTGCTACCCCAGGTCCTAAACTGTAATGGAAATGCGCCACGGCCTGTGCCGGCCAGCGAGGCAGCCCGAGGCCAGAGCGAGGACGCTTAGGGACGCTTAAACGGGGCTACCCCGCTGCAGTGGAAACGCGCCATAAGTGTCTCTTAGTGAATGTCCTGTACTGCTCTTATATCTCATAACATCAGCTTTTCCTTTCCCTCTTGGATGTTCTTCTGGACCCTCGGAGAAAGAGGAAATGGTGAAGCAGTCCTGTCTCTCAGGCATGTCCTTTCCTAACAGAAATATCAAAAAACATATTATTGCAGAGCAAGTGTGTTATTTAAGAATGAGGTGTGTTTGTTTGTTCAGGGACTATAAATATAATGATTTTTTTATTTGAATGTGTTTTTTAAATCCAACAGTGTGCTTCAAAGATAATCAGATTATGAATAAACCGTTCTAAATTCATCAACATTGAAATAAATGTATTATTAAATAATATTGAACTGTTATCAAAACTTAGTGCAACTGTAGAAGCTTGCTCTGTTCGGTTGTCTCACTGAAAGAATCACTTTTAACATGTTTCTTTACAGTCAGTATGCAGAGACAAAGGGTCGCAGTTCTCACTATGTTCAATAATATTTGCCTTAAATACATTGAAATGTGAAAGTTGAACAAAAAAGTTATGTTGCTTGGTAAAATGCAAATGTGCCCTTTTGCTAAGAAAGTACACTCAACATCACTGATGTGCAGGTGATCTAGTATTCAGTCATGTTTAATGTATATCAGTGTATTAGAGTCATTACTTTATGCATTCTTTGTAAAGTATGAAAAAGGTGTGCCTTGGAATCCGTGCTGAAGTTCTCTGCTGATAGGACTCCAGATCTGTCTCTCCTCCTCTGGTCCAGCCTGTCTGGATCACCTTAAGGACACTTTGAACAAACAGATGTAAAGTTACATGCGTGGGTTACAGACTTTTTTACATGCAAACAATGTTTTATCTTCTTTTAAAAAACAGGTCATAATCTTATTGTTATACTTAAGAAATTGATAGATATCACAGTCCTTATACTTTATCAGTTTGATTGAGTAGTATTGTGTAGGTCCTTTTTATTTTACTGTTACTTTGGATGAGGTTTTCATGAGTCAGTCAAATTAATTTGTTTTCATATGCCATATATGTATCACACACGTAAGGGTTAGACACAAACCTATTTAACAAATGCAATGCAATGGATAAGCTTAATTTTCACTGAAGTCACAGATAACGTCACACTGTATCTAATATTTAAACAAATAATTTCCTTGTCACTAAAGCATTGACTACGCTATTCATCGTCCTTAAATGCAGGCATTAAGTTACATGTTCCGATGTACAGCCACGATGAGGCTGTTTCTCAAGTGTGATGATAATAAAATGAAAAGAGGCATTGGTAATAATATTAAAAACAACAATGTTTGGGTCGGATAGGCGGTTAGCTGCAATAAATAACTCCAGTTCAACAAACCATATTACAATATCTAAGGGAGCGTTATTATCTTGAAATGTGACGTTCATATTTTAAAGATACACACATTTCATTGTGAGGTTGATTTAATATACACGAAGCCTCTCTTCAACAATACGTTGACGTTAGCTAGTCTATGTTATGCTATAGTAGAGCATAGCGAATTTAAACGAACCTTAACAATGCATACAGTAACCTAACTAGCAAACTAACTATCTAACGTACAAGGATGACCTTATTTTAGCAACCTCGCACAGAAGCCTTTTGGTATACAGCAGCATCCCACTTAATGTTTTACACTCTTGGATGCTACGCATAGCATCGTTAGCACAGATGGAGCTACGATTGCTCAAATGCTAACTCAACTCTAAACATTCATTAACGTTAGCTTAATAAAAACAACAGTAACATAACATAAAGTACGCAGGGTTGACTTACCGAAGAAACTGCATTCATGGACGGTCTGTTTTAACCGCAGATAAATCCTATATTTGCATGACGAATAGTCCACCAGGAACCAACACAACAAACACGGCCGATTTCAAGTAGTGTTCTCCTCATGAGCAGAGCCCCTGTAGCATCACAGAGCCAATGGAGCTAACGGAGCTAGCAGTGAGACAGAGGAGCAGCAGTCCCGTTGTCATGAAGGGGGAATCTAACTACACTGAACACAAATATAAACGCAACACTTTTGTTTTTGCTCCCATTTTTTACGAGATGAACTCAAAGATCTAAAACATTTTCTATATACACAAAATAACCATTTCTCTCAAATATTGTTCAAAAATCTGAAAAAATCTGTGATAGTGAGCACTTCTCCTTTGCCGAGATAATCCATCCCACCTCACAGGTGTGGCCTATCAAGATGCTGATTAGACAGCATGATTATTGCACAGGTGTGCCTTAGGCTGGCCACAATAAAAGGCCACTCTGAAATGTGCATTTTTGCTTTATTCTGGGGGGGTCCGAATACCAGGCAGTATCTGATGTGAGGGGTAGGGTTAGGGTAATGTTGTGAATCAAGTGGCCTGTGTTCGTCGTCCATTACATACGCCTGCCCATACCATAACCCCACCACCACCATGGGCCACTCGATTCACAACATTACCCTACCCCTAACCCTACCCCTCACACCAGATACTGCCTGGTTTTCGGACCCCCCCAATAAAGCAAAACTGCACGTTTCATAGTGGCCTTTTATTGTGGCCAGCCTAAGGCACACCTGTGCAATAATCATGCTGTCTAATCAGCATCTTGATATGCCACACCTGTGAGGTGGGATGGATTATCTCGGCAAAGGAGAAGTGCTCACTATCACAGATTTTTTCAGATTTGTGAACAATATTTAAGATAAATGGTTATTTTGTGTATATAGAAAATGTTTTAGATCTTTGAGTTCATCTCATGAAAAATGGGAGCAAAAACAAAAGTGTTGCGTTTATATTTTTGTTCAGTGTATATACAGAATATGTTTTTGTGGATCCAGGCTAGAAACATGTTCATTTTCTGATGTTAAGTTGGACATTTTAACATAGGGTCTACGGGAATGGCTCCCATCTGCATCCATCGCCTACAGTTTTCAGCATTGGGCTTCACCGCACTGTCCCGGGGTTCGCCGCTTGGCTGTGATAGGCCAGAAGTCGGTTTGATTGCATTAGGGCTCGATTGCTTATCCTGTCTGAGTAGCCCGGATTATGCTGCATCATAATTTTTGACGTCGAATTTTATACACCGAATTTTTTGACATTGAATTTTGAAAAAAATCAAAAATCAAACTGACAAAAAGTACACGGACCGTTTTTTTAATTAGGTCTTCTTGTTATCCGTTTTTTTTATTCAGAAAACGGCTTTGGTTTCCCGTTTTTTCGTTTTTGATTTAAAATGAAAAAAGGCTGGTATTTTCGTTTTTTTGGGTCAAACGAAAAATCAAACTAACAAAACGTACAGACTTTTTTTTATTAGGTTTTCTCGTTATCCGTCTTTTGATTCAGACAACACAAATGGGAAAAACGGCTTTGGTTTTCCGTTTTTCCGTTTTAAATAAAAAACGGAAAAAGGCTGGTATTTTCGTTTTTTGGCTTTTGGTTTAAACGAAAAATCAAACTGACAAAAAGTACACGGACCAATTTTAAACACCGAAATATTTGACATCGAATTTTTTTCACTTTAATTTTTGGGATCTGAATTTGAACATTCGAAATTTTTTAACTTGAATTTTTACATTTTTATTTCACATAGGTCAATTCGGAGCAAAACAAATTCAGATACATGATTTTCAAAGTAATTATTTTCAATGCTATAAATTCGGTGTCTGATAAAATTCAAATACTTCTGTCTCTTGTTTGCTTCCATAAGGGGCACTGATCAGAGTCAGAGCTGACAGTTATCACTGAATTGGACACACTGTTTTGTTTGTTTAAAATCAACCAAAACAAGAGTTCTTGACATAAACCCATGATTGTCTTGTAATGTGCCGACATCTGACTGATTTCAATAGAGCGGGTCACACAGGTCATTGCTGTCATTAGAATTGACAGCAATTTCATCCTATTAGTCATAAATCATATTTCTGTGTTTAAAGCGTATACATTTTTTAATTAACAAAAACAAATTGAACTCCAAGTTCTGATCTGTTCATTCTCTCGTCCAAGGATGTGTGAAAAAGACTTTAAGAGACTGTTTGACTCTTCACAAAAATATATAAAAACTGATATTCCTGTAATTTGTAATAAAAAAGAACTCAAATGTAATTACCGACAAGACACAAAGAATCAAATATAGGCTTGCTATGAAGCAAGTGTTTCAGCCATCATGTCTTTGATTACACATCAGCTCTCAAGTGGCTGAGCCTGTAAAATGTAAATGTTCTAGCATTCTCTACCAAATGTGTGCTTAATTGCTGCCCCCTTGATCCAAGATGAGTGGATCTTCACAGCATACATATTCAATTTACACACGTTCCCTACTGTAATTCACTAATTGTCACAAGTAAGGAAGCTCTTAAGGGCAAAACTACTTAGCAAACTGAGACTTGGTTAAAACAATGTAGCTAAAACAATTGGAAAATATAGATATGATAGATGTATTATACTTCTAATACAAAACAAGAAAAACAAACTTAATTACTCACCTAAGGAAAGAGCAGCAACAAAGGCAGTGATGATGCTGCTGGCACAGAGAACAGCGGCCTGGTCCAGTTCAATCCCCCCTCGAGAAAAGGACCCTAAACAAATAGCTGCCACTGCTGCCAGGAAACCCACCACTGTCGCCTGAACCTGCAAAATAATGGCAAACATGACATCATTATTAGGATTTAACAATGCATTTGACAAACAGTGTGGTGATATTTGCACGAGGCTGTAAACTCTTTTTGCCTGGTGAACACAGTAAGCTTTGTGGCGAGGGAGAGTGTGGCTCAGTGGCTAGTGTGCTGGACTTGGACGAATCAGGGGATAGCAAGTTCGAGTCCCACTGCAGTCAGCATGTCATTGTTTCCCTGGACAAGACACTTCATCCCAAATTGCTCCTGTGGGGATTGTCCACAGTATTGAATGTATATAAGTCGCTTTGGATAAAAGCGTCTAACAAATTACATGTAATGTAATGTGTCTCCAAAGTCAGTATTAGACCATAGGGTACCACATGTACCTCAACAAAGTATTTCAAAGGTGTTTGAGGTGATGTTACCTGTATCAGTGCCAGGTTGCTGCACACCATGGTCCATTGTTTACCAGGGTCGTCCATCTGGCCTGTGTTGGCCTGCAAACACAAAGATACCATTAGTCATTATATAAGCATTAGTTTGGTACAGGCCCTCATATATGTAATATTCAATATGTCTGTTTTTCATAAAAAACGGGAACATAAGAATGTAAAAACCTGCAAAAGTGCTCTGTGTGATGTGTAAAACAAACATAACATATTATGCATAGTGTTTTAATTAAAGGTCCCATGTCATGGCCATTTCTACTGATCATAATTCCATTGTTGAGGTCTACTAGAATAGATTTATATTGTGCAATTTTCCAAACTCACATTGGTTTCTCATGCAGCATCTCTGTATAGTATGTGTATTCACCGGTATTCACTCTGTCCTAAACGGCTTGTTGGAGCTCCTGCCCCCCCCCAATTCTCTGTGAGCCCAGTGTGCTCTGATTGGTCGGGACGTTGCAAGGCTCGCTGCTCGGTGAGCTGGCTTACTGGTGTGGTTTCCGGGTTGGCGATACAGCGAGACAGCGCGAAACTCATCCCGAGCACACACAAACACTCACAGCCGAAGTCAAAACAAGAAGTGTGGCTTGATATTGAGAGTAAGAAAAAGGTTTATAAACGCTGTGAGAATGGGTCTGCGGAGAGCATTTCTCTGCGATCCCAACTCGTCTACCAGGGAGCTCTATGTAAGTCAATGGGACTCCCTGTTAGTTGAAAATGTACGCTAAAGGTCCCCACCCCTCCTGGTGTGTGAGGAGCTCTGCGGATTGGTCCATTTTCAACAAGTCCTCCAACTCATACGACCAAATGGGCCGATTGTTCGGGCCCTTATTACGACCAAATATGTTGTTTGTTCAAGCGCTTATTACGTCCTATAATTACGTTCTAAAGTTTTCGCCCTCTAGTGCTCCCGTTGAATGCAAACGTTACAGATGGTTGTTTATTCACAAATAACCCTCTGTAAAATCCTAAATTGTAGGATAGTTTGGCCATTGAAATGCTTTTTTAATAGATTTCTAGCGAGAAGTGTATATTGTACTTTTAGAATCCACGTCCAGTCGATATGTACGATCTATAGTTTCATAGATATTACGAAGATGATTTGAGGTATGCGGCAGCCTCCATGTAAAGTTACGGGTTGAAAACAATATTTCCGGTCTCTACGTTTTCATAATAAAACCAATGATCAAATGATTTAACAGTGATATCTGCAGTACTCATCAACTAAAAAACATCAGTTTATCCTTGTTAATTATACAACATTTATTGGTTTAAATTGTGTACAATCCTTTTGTATTTTTCCCATTCGATTCTTTCGATTCTGAGAGACACCTTTCTTTTTTCAGAGGTTTTGATAAGCTAAAACATCGATTGTTTTAGCCGCAATGCATGTCGGGATATGGTGTTTATATGATATGAAATCGGAAAAACATTTAAAAAAATAAATAATAATACTTTATTCCGAGTGTTCTTGCTTTTCTCTTTGGAAGTCATCACATAACGGCATTGTAATACACGGTTCGGCTGCATTAAATATTACATACCTGCCGTAGTTCTCTATTTATAGAGCCCTGATGAGAAGACCTTTGGACAAACTGTAACAAATGCCGCAAAAACTGAATATGTGACGTGGATCATAAATATATTAGCAATTAAACACCATCTTCCATTTCTTTTCACACAATACGTCTCCTTGCAGTATCAACACTAATTCGGCTGACTTTTATATTTGATCCAATTGGTAGATAGGTTATATTTACACCATGACGGCGCACAGCTGATAGAAAGGAATTTTTTTGTAGTTTTTAAAGATATTATTTACTACCTTTTCAACTCCTCATGCAGTTGACTATAACTGGTCTATTGCAGGCCTATACAGGTTCATGGTACAATGCATAAGCTTCAAATCGAGAGACTGAAACTGTATTTTCCTTTACTGTTCTGTTTTAATTTCACAATAAAGTTAATAGTCATATTATGTTTGATATTATTATGTTTTATTAACTACACCACTGGTTTTTTAACCCGCACCGCCTCGCCTAGTGGTTAAAGCACGTTATTGAATTTTGTTGTTGAATACGTTTTATTTGATGAAAACATTTAAATATTAAGAGTAGCCTACTTACAAAATTGGGGGAAAGTAGAAGGCATGATAGAAATATAGAAAATATCAAGAAGATACTGTAGTGATCTCTACAATAAAACAGTTTAGTGCAGGACGTCCAAATATATTAACAGGAGGATGTGCAAAACAGACAAACTAATAAGGCTTTATTTAAACATTAAAGAATACTTTAAGTTAAGGTCTTCTTTTGAATAAGAAAAAAACATTGGGGTTATCCACAGATAAATATGAAGTCTGACATTACATGTTATTTGTTAGACGCTTTTATCCAAAGCGACATACATATTCAATACATTCCAGACAGGAGCAATTTGGGGTGGAGGGTCTTGCCCAGGGACACAACGACACGCTGACTGCAGTGGGGTTTGAACCTGTGACCCTCTGATCACAACACCAAGGCTATTTCGACTGCGCCACATGGCTCCTGACAAATTACTTAACGTCCAATATATTGCATAGTTTATTTTGGCACTTGACAATCACCTTCCCTGAATTTGAGTCAGGTGTAACTAAAGTCTGATTTAAGGGTTGTTTATATTTCACATCATTAATCAGAATCTGCAAAGTAACTAAAATAAATGTAGTGGAGTAAAAATACCAGGTTAACCTCTGAATTGTAGTGGAGTAGAACAAAGTAGTACATGCTGCTGTAACAAAGACATTTCCCAACTTGGGATCAATAAAGTATATCTTATCTTATCTGAAGATGATCGATGGCTACTGCCATATTTGCAACATTTGCCTCTGAACCTTGACAAGTGCATGTTTCAGGCTTATCAATGAACAACAGGAGGGGTCACAGACATAAGATCAGCTGTTAAATAAAGCTCTTCTGACCTTAGGTGTCATGTGGGTATATTAATTCACCCATTTATTAATTATATGTTTTAAATGTGATAACACCACTGTGTTTCGTATTCCCTAAACCTCCAGGGTGTACACAGTTTAATACTGGCAACTTCTAATTGTGGGAAATACGAAAATGTCGGGGGGGGGGGGGGGGCGGGGAGAAAGTCTGCCGTGGTTCCATTCCATTACATAGAGCTGTTTGACGCTCAGCGTATCCTTGTCGCACTGCCACTCCAACATCCAATCACAGGGCTTGATGACTAATCACCGGGTTTGTAAAGCAAGGCGGATGTTGTAGTCCCAAACGATAGCTGGGGATTCTGGGTAGTGTAGTGTCTTCGGAAACTGTAGTGTTTAAACTCAGAAAAAACAATTTGTTTCTCTGAATCGAAGGTTAAAAACACAAAAGCATTGTACACAATTTAAACCAATCAATATTGTGTAATTAACAAGGATAAACTGATGTTTTTTAGTGGATGAGTAATGCAGATATCACTGTCTAATCATTTGACAGTGAGGGGAATATATCCGGTGTTATTATGAAAACTTCGAGACCGGAAAAACTGTTTTCACCCACGCTAACTTTACATGGAAGCTGCCGCATATACACGTTATCCTGGCGAGACCTCAAATCATCTTCGTAATATCTATCAAACTATAGATCCTACACATCGACTGGACGTGGATTCTAAGAGTAAAATACATACTTCTCGCCAGAAATCAAATCAAAAAGCATATTAATGGCCAAACTATTCCACAGTTTAGGATTTTCCAGAGAGGGTGAATAAACGTCCCTCTGGAGCGTTGGAATGAACGGGCCGGGAGCATGTTGTTTCTTACACGACCACTAGAGCACCTCTAGTGGTCGTGTAAGAAACAACATACACTTTAAAACGTGTCTGGGTCGTAATAAGGGCATGAACAATCGGCCTATATGGTAGTTTTTTGTAGGAGGACAGGCTGTCCATTTTGGTTCCCGGAAGAAAGAAATGGAAAAAGAGAAATCTCCAACGAGGCGTTCTGGAGCAGCATAGACAGGTATTTTTTGTGTTAGAGTTGTACTCGTTACAGGGTGTACGTTGAGGGTTTACATGCATAACAACCTTCATAACACACAAGGGGATGGGTAATAACCAGAAAAGCATGACATGGGACCTTTAAATCCTATGATATCAAAAGTTTAAAAATGAATTACTGTGCGTGTGACTTTGTACTGTATCTGTTCTACATGATACATTCTCTGTAGGGTGGTAAACTGAGGTTATCGGCATAGTAACAGAGTTCTCTGTTGGTTGGCTTAATTAAGTTCTTAATCCAAAATGATATTTCATGAGGATGTAAAAATCTTACAGCAGTGGAGAGGCGAGCAGCGAGGGTCATCTCCAGGTTTCCTTTGAGTCCAACCAGCGCGGGCACCAGGATGAACACCTCCGTTATCACCTTAAACACCTTCCAGTGCTGAAACACATGTGAAATATTACATTAGCACTCACAAAAACATTGCACACAGATATAAATTCACTAAATGAGTCATATTTGACCGAAACCTCAGCTTGGATAAACATGTCAGTTCAATGGTTTTATCCTGTATTCATCATCTGTACAATGAGTTGAAGCCCTAGCCAATAGAAGCGCATATGTTACATAGTGATGTCATTATGTTACGGAATCAAACAAAGCAGTCCAATGGAGGCTTTTCAGGAAGGGGGAGGGGGGAGAGAAACCCCCTCTGGAGCGAAAACGAGTGCTTTTGATTTGATTTGATTTGACCATCGCTGGAATCCCAGCCACTTCGGCCTGTAACAGGCTGTGGTGGATCCTGCTCTAGCTGCCTGGATAGACTGAATAACTCTTGTCAGACAATCCACCCTGTCTCAGCCTGTCCCTCTCAGGAGCCAAGCCTGGAGAGGTTGGCCCAGAGTGGGTAATGCCCCGATTGCACCTGCCTCTTGAGACATCGCCCCCCAGAACTGGGGAATTGCCCAGAGCTGGCCCACCTTCATCTGTGTCATCTCTGAGTATCCGGAGCCACTAGGATGACAGACAGACGTTCTCACCTCACTCTCCCCAGGAGAGGAAGAATGAGACGCAGCGGTGGAAAGGCGTAGAGCAGCTTTCTTGACCATGGCTCGGGTGCGAACGCGTCCACCCCCAAGGGCGGATCGTCGTTCAGAGCCATGGAGAACCACAGGGCACAGTGGCTGTTGCGCCGGCTGGCGAACAGCTCCACCTCTGATCCTCCAACAGCTCCACCTCTGATCGTCTCGGTCCTTCTTGGATAGAGCGGTGAGTCCTAGCCACACGTGACGCGACGCCACTGTGGCCAAGGACCTCACCCGCCCGGCTGCGGCGGCCACTCCATGGATCAGTTTATTCATCTGTCCAATGCAGCGGTCCGGATAACCGCTCCCGTCCTGAGGCGGGAGGGCGGGGGCGTCCGTCTGAGGGGTAATTAGGGAGACACCCAACTCGCCGAGATTACTCACCGCAGCCGCCATCTGTGCCCCGAGCCTGAATATTTTATTCAAATATTCTAAGGTGTCTCGGTTCCGCGGCAGCGTGTCAGAAGTTTCTTTCCCTCCGCCCAACCAGCTTCCTGCGGAAGCAGATGGGCCGCCGGGCTCTCGTCGAGGGGGGGAACACCGGGACACACTATGTCCGAGTGGCCCTGCACCCTGATGATACCTGCCATGGCTGCTATCGGGGCCTTCATCCTCAACGGCTGCCGCCACGTCGCCTCCACACACTGCCAGATATCTGGCACCGGGGGCGAGACGAAGGCCGGCTGTGCCGGATGCACCGGGCCGTAAAACCCCTGTCGAAAGCGGCTTACTGGCCTCGGTGGCAGCGGTGGGGGGAGCGGAAGGCCCACACGCTCCGCCGCCAGGGTCATCACCACCGGGGAGTCCAGACGCGCAGACCTGTGTGCTGGACCCGCACGCGCAGGAATCTGCTGCCAAAGTGAATTAAAAAAGACAAAATTAATAGAATCAAACCCTTTTTTTGTTGCATTTTAGTAGAGTATAAAAAGAAATGCCTTTAAAATAGAATGCAAGCAACACTAGTTTCTTAACCTGAATTGATAATAGACTATAATCAATTTAAGTTTGCATTCTTATACCATTTTGTACAATAATTATAATGAATAAGTTAAAACTTACAGCTGATTAATAACGGTATCTAACTTGAGTTTTTATTATATCAAAAACCTGTTGAAATGCTTCTGTTATTTTTACTGTCCCCAAAAAGCGCGTCGGCAGCCACCAGGAAAGCTTCTTTCACAACTTCGCCGTCTTTGAAAGACTTCATGTGTTTTGCAAGAACGTGACTGACATGATAAGATGCTATGGTAGCAGCCTTGCTCTTGTTGTTGGGCCTGGTGAAAATGGACTGTGCATTTTGCTGTCCTTTCAGGCCCCTCCCCTTTTGGGAGCGTAGGGCAGAATTCCGTCTCGTAGCGTTTGTGCACTGTTTTGAAATGCCGCTCCTAAATTACCCTTCTTCGATAAAGCCACGCTCGCATTGCAGATGAGACAGATGGACTTTGAATTGGAATAGATACAAAAGTAATCATCCTCCCACTCGGAGTGAAAATTATATATTTTGGGCTTTTTTGCTTCTGCCATAATTTCGGTTTTGTGTGTGTGCGGACTGTCACTCTTGTTGACACGGACAACGTCAGCGTAATAGTGCCCACTGCCCACCAGCCACGCCCCGACACATGGGGTCACGCCGGCCAATCACAAAGCTTTGATGCGTTCAAGTGCATTATTCTGGCACAGGAAGATTATGTTATAGGACATTAACGATAAAACAGAATATTGTTGTTCTATTTTTAGACACATCTCGCGATCGACTGGGAATCTCCCCGTGATCGACTGGTCGATCGCGATCGACTGGTTGGGCACCCCTGTTCTAGACCAATCCAGTAGCCTACTTTCCCTGTGTCTCTTAGCATCAGATGATGCCACCCCATACTGCAGAGGTTCAGTGGGTTTAGAAGAACAGTTCATAGAGTCTGCCTCATATTTCTGAATACAACTCCACTTGGCAGGTCCGAGATGGTTTCGATCTTTAAATAGATGCACATATTAAAGAACAGCACGGCTGCCAAGAGTGAAGAAATGTTGAGCAGAGGCAGGGAGCGAGGGAATTACAGATGAGAGGAGGAACTGACAGAGGGAACGGAGGAATGAAAGAGTGAAAATGAAGGAGAAAGTGTCCGATAAGAGGTTTTGTTGTGAAAGCATTTTTCAGGGGGAAAATGTCCTGGAAGCACATAAAGTATCAGTAATTCAGATATGAAATATTTTGCTGACAAGGCAATGACTACAATAACCAACCCAGAGATATTCTTAAATATTTAGTATAATAGACAAAGTTCCAGGAAAAACAAGTAACTAGTTATTTTTTAAAGTAGCAAAGCTTTTTTCTGGCTGTGCACGCTACAACCTTAAGTCCATCTGTGTATATATGGAACGTCTATGTTCTTTTTTGATGGACTTGGAAGATAAGGGATTTCTCCATTGGATTTTGATATATTGCAGAAAACAACGTTTGTGGCCAACACACGTGTATGATCCTTAAACGTTTAGCTTGACAATTAGCGGTCTTATTTAGTCACTTGTAAGCAACCGCCGTTTCCATGACACATAGAAGCTCTGGATATTAAGTGGGGTATTTATTGACATATTTTATGTCACAGAACAAAACTTGAAAATCTCGTAATCTTGTGTTAACCACAGACCTCACTTCAGGTCCTAATTACAAACAAAAAAACATTGACTTTGAGATGAGGAAACTGGTATAATGCCAAGCTTTTCCCCGGGGTTTTGGACCATTGTCTTTGGCTAGACCTGATAGACCTGGTAGTTTAACCAAAATAAAAAACAACAGAAAACAATGGAATCTTTTGTTTGTTGTATGTTTTTATTAAATTGTTGTTTTTGGTAGCCTTTAAGAATCACTATAATGTTTTGGGCTGCAGTTTGTTCAGAGTTTTAAGATATCAAAAATGTGTGAGTGCTGATGGATGTGGATATGAGATACCATGCTAACATTACATTAATATGCTCACTGCTGCGCTAGTACACTTTGATGGGAGCTGTTTGTAGGATAAATTAATACTTTTTCTTTTTGGTTTGTTGTTCCTAAATCTGAGGTATACCTACTCAAGGAAAGGCTACAGCTATGCTAGTTAGTTAAGCCATGAATGCCATGGCCAAGAACAAGTGAAAAAGCGGATACTTTTTTACATTTTTGGAGCAACTAGACAAGTTGTCTATGTTGCATTTGTGATCTAGCTCCACCTTTTGGAACTGCTAATGAAACAGCCAATAGGGATGGGACATATGGATGAGGTTAAAGGGTGCTCAACAAGGACACAAATGAGGAAAAAAAGAATAAAATAAGAGTATAGTAAACGTTAGGGGTGTGCTTTGAGTGTGTCTATGTATACACTTTGTTCTCAGGACCAGGAGTGACAGGTCGGTTGTCACGTTGGGAGGCTATCTTGGGACATGGCCCACTTCTGCTGTAATGCTGATGCTGCCTGAGTGTTACAGGCAAAAAGCCAGGATAGCCAAAAACTGTGCTTCTGTAGATCCCTCAGGAGAAAAAAAACTATATTTGTATTATTTTTGCTTTTGTTGTCATAATTACTGATATTAATCTGATGATGTATTTGAGTATTTAGAAAAGCACAATTATGTTTATATAGTGCTCTTCAAGGTTCTCAAAGACATGTTACAGGGTTAAAATTCCTAAAAAAATAACAATTAAGACAACCCACTTAAAATATACTAAACACAACAATAATTACAGATTAAAAGCAGTCCTGAGGAGATGATTTGATTTGTTAACCGAACATGGAGATATTGGTGTAGTTTTAAACGTATCACTAGAAACATTCTAGTTATTAGTTAATATTTTATAATGATGGCATAATCTTAAAAAGGCCCTATGATTATTTTAGGAGATTTTACTTTCCTGTAGTGTGCTATATAGGTTTTTGTGCATGTAAATGGTCTGCAAAGGCTAACATCCCTGTGTTCCCTCTTGAGGGAGTTTCTCTCCCACACTCCCCCCCTGCTTTAAAGGCCTCCATTGGACTCTTTTGTTTACTTCCGTAACATAGTGACATCACTATGTAACCGTTGCGCTTCTATCGGCTAGTGCTCCAACACATTCATCGTGATAAACTAAGGGGTGGGACATCTCTAAGCGGTTAACCAATCACAACAGATAAGTAACCAATCAGAGCAGACTGGGCTCTGGTTTCAGACAGAGGGTGAAAAGAGGTGCTGCAGCAAAAATAAAGGGCTTATTGAACATCGAAGCATTTAAACATGTCACAGTCGAGAGACAAAATCCAAATATGAACCTGAAAATAAGTCTAATAGGCCCCCTTTAAGATACATGTTAGGCTAAAACAAATGTAGGCAATTTTGCAGCTGTGTGTGTCTTTTTTCCCCTGTAATACAGGGAAATATGTCAATTTCTTCTCATCTATGTGATTTAAAGATATCAACGTTTGTATATCCTTTCTCTTTCAAATATGTTCTTCCATTCTCTAACCTCCTATTAAATTAACTATTCACTTTTGTTCAAAGGCTTTCCTCTCATCCCCACATCAAATTCTGATTGGGGAGTCTCAGAAAGGTGTGTGTTACATAGGGCTCCATCTGTTGAACAGCACCATTAAAGGGAAGAGGAAACTACTGCATGCAGTAGCTGCATACATTCATCAATCTGTTCCCCCCCGTGTTCAATTATTCCAAAGTGATTATGTCCACCAATTTAACCGTAATCCATTATTTTTCATAACTCTGCTTACAAACCTAAGGCATTGGACAATCCATGAAGAAGGTTAATAAGAATGACTGGAAGATATTGAATATTCAATAAAAGGCCAATGTTGGTCTGACCCTAATTTATACACAAGGATATGAAAACGGTGCCAGTTGAGACCATTCATACCCGAGAAGCAGGTAAAATCAATCTCTGCCTCTCACACTGCATTGAATCCATTATTGCCACATGGATGACCCATTCAACTGCCTACAGCTGTCTGTAGATATGAGCATCTGCCCATATTAATAATTCATCCATGCCATTATGTTAAACTGTCTGTGTAAAGTCAGTCTACCCAACCATTCTCACATCCATCCATAGGGCTGAGCAGGTCTATATTTAACCTCATTGTTTTAAAAGTACCGCCCATATTTTGTTCACAGTACCAAGGTGTATTAAAAACAATCAAGAACCAGAACAATTGCATGAAAACAGATTCATACTCTACTTCTCTAGTTGGACTTAAACTGACTTGAATGCTAATTTTCCATTAGCTTGGGGTTTTGCCGCATCACACAAGCTTGGTTTTTTGTCTGGTAATAGGTTTGTGACTGCATTAAACATCTGGCAACTTTTGTTTGGTAAAAAAATGAACTTTGCAGAACAGAACAGTTCTGTATTCGTGAAAGAAGGTATAACAAAAAGTACAGTTTTGATATCATCACTTTTTCAGATAGCACAGAACCCTATTCAACCACCCATGAATCAATCTCTAAGAAAAGTTTTTCATACTTGTATAAGGTCCATAACAATGCCAGCGGAGACCAATCCGAGCCCTGACACCAGGTAGGGCACTATAACCTGGGCAGCAATGAGCCAGGAACTCTCCGGTAGGAAACCATATTCTGATCGAGTCAACTTCCATGTCACTCCACGTAACTTCCTGCCCTGGTAGCATAGCTCCAGCTCCAGACGCGTCACCACCATGATGGACGAGGGGTACTTAGTTCAACGTATCGTTATCCCATGGTAAAATTCACTGCAGTCCAAGCAGGGAGGAAGAAATCTGGTTCTGATGCGTCCAAATAAACTTGAGTTGAGTTCACCTGTCCAAAGAAGTGAGCAGAGTGAACGAGAAACCAATCGATGTCCGTCCTTGGTTCATAAAGTGCAAGGTCAAATGTTTGAAGAGCAGAGACACTGGATTTTTGAATGCATGGTTGATCCACTCTCAAAGGATTATAAAGAAATGACAGGCTTTACTTCAATCGTTCTTGACAATGAAGAGTAAAGCTATCAGCTTATAATAATCCTTTTTACCTCTAAGGAAAATAGATTTTTAGCGACTGGCATGTCTTAAAATCTTCAGACGTGAAAATCAGGTGTAACAAGTGAGAGATTGCCACCCATTTTCCCTGATTAATGATCGTGTTATACAGGTGTTGATTTCCACAACAGGGCAATAGAGCGTGGCATCTCTAGCCCTGTGGTGACTCAGCCACGATGATGATTCCATTTGTCAGCACGACACAATCATTAAGAACAATTCCTTAGTCGTCTTTCACGATGTTCATTTACTAGCACAGATGCTCCATATATGACAAGTCTTTAACCAACCCTGAATTTATAATTAAAGGTTGGTAAGAATACTTTGACATCACAAAAGGTTCAAGAGAATGAACCTGACAATGAAGAGTCATGACAAAGTCCAGTTTCTCCAATCTACCAAATAATCCATTGGCTGTAGTTCAAAGTCCGTCCAATGGAGTTTAGTGTTTGTTGGATAGGGTCCTCAATCCATTGACCCAGTCTGATCAGCTTGACCAATGTGAAGGCACATCTTTATCCAGAAAATATGATAGTACTGCTCGCCGGGACAGCTGAATGATTGACAGAGGGAAGAAGATAGTCCAGAAGGTCTTGAGAGTTAGGAGTCCTTTATGCTTTTGTCAATCCACATCATCTGTTCTGGCAAGCTTAGGATGAGGAGGAAAACAAAAAAGAGCTCCATAATGTCTAAAAGAGATACAAGAGGTCCACTGACGAGATGGAGCAGCCGGCTTCTGGCAGTCTGGAGTGCTGGCAATCCTGCTTCCTCCGCTCTGCTGTGACGTTTTACAGCTGACTGAGCTGGCCGACATGCAAACTCATGAGGGAAACAACCGGCTTACCGCCTCCCCTCTCCCTCCTTTTTATTGCTGCGTGCCTTGCTCTCACCCTACCTCCCCTTTTCTATCCGTCTACCAACGTCGGCTGGTTTCGCTGCGTTACTCCCTCTTATCCCTCTTTTTCAAATCTCTCTCCCTCCACATCGTGACTCATTCATTCTCTCCATCGCTTCATTCCATCTCTAGGTCGTGTTCACCTGCTTTATTAGCATGTTTGTTCTGTGATCCACTCACAGGCCCAGGTAATGTATATCCTTGGTCTGCACCACAACATGTCAGATTGCACCCACACATACTTTAATTTGTGGCTAAAGCATTGCCCTGCTTTCAAAAAGCTTCTCTTGACTAAAATATTGATTTTAGACCACTTTTCAGGTCACAAGCATCTACGAATCACTTATATGCAGACGTGTATCTATAATGCAGTCAGTTTCTCTTTTGCATGGCAATCATGTTTATTTGTTCTTATCATAATCAAGTAACTAATGACATTTTCTATTAAACTAGTGACTTTTGGAATTTATTTGATTCAATACATGTTGTCACTAGACTTGAAATGTAATGATTTAATTTCTATTAACTATCAACATGGTATAGTTTTCATTTTCCACAATTATTTTCTCAAAATCATGTTTGTGTTGTACTGTTGTAAATGGTTAAATGTGTTTAATTCATTTTCCTCTTAGTATCTTATTAGCTCTAAATTTGTATGCATAACACATTTTCTTGTTCAGAATAAGCAAGGTAGTCTAGTAATTTTGGTATGGGAATTTAGGAGACAAGTAAAAAAAAGTAATCCAAGCAGAAGAAACCCAGACCTAATACAGTGGTGCAGTAAAGAGTCCTGAAACCCAGAGATGACTCAGCATTCAGTCACTTCTATTTCACTCGTCACAAGGTCAATGGTTTTTTGAACATGTTTGTGGTTAGACGACTGAAATCAGTTAACTCTTCAGCCTTTTACAAGCTGAAGAGTTATTTCACTTTTGTTTTACGACTTTAAATACGTCAGTTAATACAACACTTGTGAATCTCCAAAGCTTCTATGTGTTATAAAAAAGTTGGTTGTTAGCAAGTGAATAAAAAAAAACGAATAAAAGTCATCACACCAACACGGGTCCGCCTTTAGCTTAGCGGTGGTAATGCGCAGTCTTGGACCATGATGTAGTTTGTTTATAGCCTAACAATAGCATATTATTTCTGCTGATTGCATTTACGCTTCAAAAATTGAAGAGTGGTGTTAATATGTGGAGATTATCCTGCTGAGCAAAAATGTGTAAGTATTATAAATGTGTGTTGGCCAGAGAGCTTATTTTCCATAATACTGAAATATATATATACGGAAATTACATAGCCTTTTGTCAATGGAGCCCTTGCGATGTTTAGCTTCCAGGTCGGCCTAAAAACATATGTCACTGCACCACTCTATGACTTATAGTTTATTTCCCTAATATGTGTCAAAATGTTAGTCAAACATTTTCTATTAGGAAAAGTGAACACGTTTTACTAACAAGTACACTTTAAGATTGGTGAACTTTACACCGGAAAAGAGCCGTCTATAGATTCAAGAACTTGAATGAGTCAGTCAGATGAATCCATGTTAAAGGCTGAAGTAAACAAGCTGCCATTACTGCAATTATACATTACTTTTAAACCTGGGCAATAACACTCAAGTATGAAACGTTGGGTTACGTATTGTAACCCTTGTTATATTAGCACAGGCGGAGCCCTCTACTGGACTCTATGGGTACTACCTTACCCTGCGAGCATTCTCCCACTGAGACTTCTATAGACGTAGCCGGCCTTGGGCGGGCCTACCTGAATGCGCGCGCATCACACCGTATGAAAGGAGGCCTCGCCTCCTGACTATCATCCTACACCTCTCTTCAGCGAGCGGAACAGGACAGACAGTGCCCTGAGTAGAGGGCTCCGCCTGTGCTAATATAACAAGGGTTACAATACGTAACCCAACGTTATATCTCTCACAGGCTCCGCCCTCTACTGGACTCTATGGGTACAGTGGGTGGAGCCCCGATGTATACGCGCACTGTCATCCAACAACAACATTCCACCCTACTGACCCTGACCGGCTTTTCTGGTCAGCAGCTGCTGCCCCCTCCTTTAACCCGGTTGTGACCGTGGAAAAGTCTGGGCTGCGGCTGACAGAGCACACCCTGCCGCGCTTACCTCGCAGAAGGTGTGCTCAAAAAACAGTGCCGGGGGACCCCCCCCCCACCACCCATAGACGGATGGGGAGAGCCCCCTCAGCCCCGAATGGGCTTACTACACGCCTGCCTCCCTGAATCCTTAAGGATAACAGGGAGAGCGCCAGAGCCCATGCCCCACACTCAAACACTGACCCCGCAGCCCTCCACACTTTAGTCACGTAAGCGCGGCAGGGTGTGCTCTGTCAGCCGCAGCCCAGACTTTTCCACGGTCACAACCGGGTTAAAGGAGGGGGCAACAGCTGCTGATCAGAAAAGCCGGTCAGGGGCAGTAGGGTGGAATGTTGTTGTTGGACGACAGTGCGCATATACATCGGGGCTCCACCCACTGTACCCATGGAGTCCAGTAGAGGGCGGAGCCTGTGAGAGATATAACGTTGGGTTACGTATTGTAACCCTTGTTATATTAGCCCTGTAAGGGCCCAGCGCGCCCCTCGCCCATCCCGGGACCCTCAGAGGGCCCGAGAACAGCGAAGGCGCATTACGTCCGGGGTAGGGGTCAGATGCCAACTGACCCACAACCCCCCCCCCTACCAGTCATGTGTTGCCCCCGCAAGCACAGACGAGGAGAAAGAGCCCGACATGTCCGAGAGATAAAACCTTATGAAGGGACCTGGCGTTGACCAAGACGCCGCTGTGCATATATCCTCCACACTCACACCGTTGAATAAGGCTGTTGACACAGCTACAGCCCGTGTGGAGTGCGCACGAATCCCTGTGGGGCAGGCTCTCCCTGCCTGTCCGTAGGCATGTGCAATGCACTCGCAGAGCCAGCCTGCCAGGCGTTTCTTGGACAGAACTTTCCCGATCACACCGCCCCCTACACACACGAACAGCTGTTCGGTGTGTCTAAAGGCAGCCGTGCGCTCCACATAACATGCTATCGCACGCACCGGGCAGAGGAGGTGCAGTTTAGCTTCCCTGGCCCCACCATGGGGGGGAAGATTAAAACCCCCTAACTGAATAGCCCTCGACCTGAACGCACTCCTTAGGTTTTTGGGCACAAAGGAGGGGTTCGGTCTTAGTGTCGTGCCGCTGCGGTCACCCCGAATCAGTAAACAACTCGGGTGCACCGACAGAGCGGTTAACTCGGACACCCTTTTGGCTGACGTTAAGGCAGTGGTTCTCAAACTTTTTCTGTCAGGCCCCCCCTTTGGAGAAAAAAAAAGTCGGGCCCCCCCAACACAAATAGTCAGGCTCAGTGGCGGCGCCAGTGATTTATTTTGGGGGTGCTGTGGGGTAGCATGACGTTTCATAGAGGGTGCTCAAACATTTAGGGTTTAATGTACCGGGCGCTACAGTGGAATTTTCTACTGCAACACTCCCCACGCATATACACAGTGTGACTGTTACAATGAAGGCTCGATAATCAGCTCACGGCATATAGGTGTAAGCAGGGGTAAAGTGCTATTTGTATAGGTGGTGTGTGGACCTCACATAGGGGGGTCCGGGGGCAAGCTCCCCAGGGAAGATTTATTTTTAAATATTGAAGTTAAAAGCATCAATCTGGTGCACTTTAGGAGCAAAATGAAGAGATCTATACATCTCTCAACACCCTTTTGAAACAGACCTGTTAACAGATTTACTTTTTATTTATGGATATTTTACAAATCACCCTTTTAAACGTTATTCTTTTTTTACTGTCATATAGTATTTCATACCTGTTTTTCATTTATTCTCTTATTTTTGTATAACTATAATGATCATTTAAACGTGTGCCTCGGAAATAATTGTTTACATTAATGGTGACCAACACATTTGAGACCCACTGAGATAACACTGAGAGTCCTTTAGTTCACTGAGTCTCTCAGTCTGACAGTAGAGGACTCTCCTCCACTTTGTTCTTGAAAAAACTCCTTATATCCGTTAGCGTAGCTCGCTAGCACCAGAAGAACAACAACGATCTCCAGTGCGCTCTCTCTCTCTCTCGCGCACACAAAATGAGTCGAGCTTTAATGAAACACAGAGACCCAGACGTAATAGTACTGTACTGCATCATATTATTTTCGAATCAATAATTTTTCAAATGATTTTTTTTTTTTTATAACCATTTTTCTTCCTGGTCTCTCGCGCCCCCCAGGGGGGGGAGCACCCCCCACTTTGAGAACCACTGCGTTAAGGCAAGAAGCAAAGCTGTTTTCCACGACAATGCTTTCAGTGAGGAGAGCTCCAGAGGCTCAAATGGCCCCGAGGCCAGAGCCTCGAGCACTAGGGGCAGGTCCCACTATGGGGTGGAGGCGTGCACTACTGGGCGCAGCCTCCTGACCCCCTGTAAAAACCGTGACATCAGTGGTTGATTAAAGGCTGACCTGCCGCCAAATCCCTGCAGCCATCCCGGACGAGATGGCTGCTGCATACACTTTCACTGTTGAATGTGCAAGCCCTCTGTCCACCAGTAACTGTAAGAAGGATAAAATAGAGCCTAACTCACCAGATAGGGGCTCTATTCTCCGCTCCTCACACCATCGCTGGAATCCTAGCCACCTCGGCCTGTAACAGGCTGTGGTGGATCCAGCTCTAGCTGCCTGGATAGACTGAATAACACTGTCAGACAATCCACCCTGTCTCAGCCTGTCCCTCTCAGGAGCCAAACCTGGAGAGGTTGGCCGAGAGTGGGTAACGCCCCGATTGCACCTGCCTCTTGAGACATCGCCCCCCAGAACTGGGGAACCGCCCAGGGCTGGCCCACCTTCATCAGTGTCATCTCTGAGTACCATGGCGCCCCAAAGCGGTCCG